AAACCTCTGGCCTTCCTACACCAAGCCTGGTTCAGAAAACTCGTTTTTGTTCAGCACCCAAAAGAAGACCACATGGGTTGGAAGAAGACCACATGGGTTGGCAGCAAAAGGCAGCCACAATTGATCACCTTTGATTCCATGTGAAGAAAGCTTGAGGTGCAGCAAAATAATTATGGGATGAGATTGATTCCAACCACATTAACATAGACAAGATGAAGTGTGAGTTATGGGTTGTATTAAAAGAGGAATGGTTATAAGTTAATATGCTAGTTTGAATGATTGATCACCATTTAGGCTTGCATGTTAGCTATCTTGGTTTGAATTAAGAGTATACACCATGCTTTAATTCGAATTGAACTATGAATAGGAAGAGTATGTATGGACATTCGACAACAGGGATTAGATACATGCTTGGTTGTTTAAATTGTTCTTCTATGCTTAATGGGTTCCTAATGCTTAATTTTAGGTTAGACAACAAATGATCAAATTAGGGAATTAGGAACACAAGGTTATGACCACACACCATGGCTTAATCATACTTTAGCTAGAATCAATCCGTTAATCTAATTGAACTTGGGAACTTATTTGCTTGAGTTATTTCTTTTTTTTCTTGTTTTATTTATTTCCTTTTTCATTTCTATTTTGTGTAGGGGAAACAAATTGGATCATTCAATCACCAATCCTCGTGGGATCGACCTCGCACTTACATATGCTATACTACCAAACGGCTCGTGCACTTGCGAGTATCACAAGTTGAGGATGCAGCTGAATCCATTTTGATGCAGCTGAATCGAAGCAACAAGAGGACAACTTCTTGAAGTGGCGATATCAACTGGAATCTGTCCTTGAAGGTCATGATCTTTTTGTTTATTTCGATGGATCTGTGATTCCTCCGTCGAAGTTTGCAATTCTGGACGAAGAAGGTGTTACTTCTGAAGTCACCGCAACGTATAAGGAATGGCTAAAGATTGACAAAGCCTTACTCAGTTTCTTGATTGCGACGCTGTCTGATGATGCCATCGAATATGTAATTGGGAGCAAGACTTCTCGTGATGCCTGGTTAAGCCTTATAGATCGGTACGCCACTATCTCTAGAGCTCGAATCAATCAACTTAAGACTGAGCTCCAAACAGCTCAGAAAGGTGGAGACTCCATTGATAAATTCCTCCTTCATCTCAAGCACATCAAGGATCAGTTGGCGATCGCTAGTGTTCAAGTATCGGATGATGATCTCATGATTTCCGTGCTCAATGGCCTTCCTTCTGAGTATGGCATGATAAAGATTGTCCTTGTGGCTCGTGAAACATCAATATTGTTTAAGGATTTCCGTACTCAACTTCTCGCTGCAGAACAAGCTGCTGAGGCTCGAGTTTCATCTATTCATTCACCAATGGTGGCGATGATTAGTCGGACATCACCTGTTGTTCCTAATCCTGGTGCTAGTATTCTTCCTACACCTCCATCTGCATCTTTTTCCTCTCATAGTGGTCACTCTGTGCAAACCCATTCCTCTGGTCATATTTCTCATACTGGCCAAGGCAATTTTTCTGGCAATCGCTCATTCGATCGTGGTGGTGGTTTTCAAGCCTCACCCTCATCTTCTACTGGATACCTCAAAAGTGGCGTAGTCCCTGAGTGCCAAATCTACCAAAAACGTGGACATACAGCGGTGAACTGTTACCACAGGAACTCTTCCTCACAACATTCAGCATCTTCCTCCGTTATTGAGTGCCAAATTTGTGGCAAACATGGTCACGGTGCCCTTGACTGTTATTATCGCTCAAACTATGTCTACCAAGGCTCTTCTCCTCCTGCTACACTCACAGCCATGACAACTCAAGCACCTTTCTCTAACGAGTCTGTCTGGATTGCTGACAGTGGGGCGAGTCATCACATGGTGCCAAGTGTTACTCATTTGGACTCTGCCACTCCATGTCGTACTACAGATTGCGTTACTATTGGAAATGGGGCGGGTTTGCCTATTGAGCATATTGGCAATGCACATGTTTCTAATGCTTCTTCTACATTAAACCTATCGAATGTGTTTCATGTCCCTCAACTCACTGTTAAACTACTCTCTATGCATCAAGTATGCCACGATAATAATTGTTCTATCCTATTTGATCAATATGGTTTTTGCATACAGGACCAGTTTTCCAAGAGAGTGCTTCTCAAGGGCAGGAGCAGTAATGGATTGTATCCAATTCCCAATGCATCCCATCTCTCTTCTCCGTCTCAGGCCGTAGCATATCTTGGTCAGCAAATAAAGTCTTCTGCATGGCACAGTAGGTTAGGACATCCTACCAATGACATTGTTCATACTATGCTCAAGTCTGCCAATTTACCTATTCTAGTAGATTCCCCAATGCATGTTTGTCCTCACGGTTTGAGAAGGCAAAATGCACCAATTACCATTCTCATCTACCCATGTTAAGGCTTCTTTTCCTTTTCAAAGGGTTCACAGGATGTATGAGGCCTTTCTCCCTGTAAATCCATAGATGGTTATCAATATGTGGTGATTTTCATTGATGAATACACTAGTTTCACCTGGTTGTATCCCCTGTTTGCTAAATTTGAGTTCTTTACAAGGTTTACTCATCTTTATGCTTATGTTGAGAATCAGTTTTCTACCTCCATTAAGTGTTTGCAGAGTGATGGGGGTGGGGAGTATATGAGTACTCAATTCAAGGATTTTCTCCTTACTCACGGAGTTATTCATCAAGTTTCACATCCTTATACTCCTCAGCAAAATGGTCTAGTTGAGAGAAAGAATAGACATTTAGTTGAAACTATGATTACTTTGTTAGCTGTAGCTTGTCTTCCTCAACAGTTTTGGTTTCATGCAATTGCACATACGGTGTTTCTGATCAATCGAATGCCTAGTAAGGTTTTAGCTCATCAATCCCCATATCCAGCATCTTCGAATATTTGGAACTGTTGTTTATCCTTGTCTGAGAGCCACAAATTCCAATAAACTTCAACCTCGATGTACTTTATGTGTGTTTCTTGGATATATGACAGGATATAAGGGCATTCTTTGTTATAATGTTCTTACTAGAAAGATGGCTATATCTAGAAATGTGGTTCATGATGAAACTGTGTATCCTTTTCAACCTATCATGGCATCAAGGTTTGTTACTTGTTCAACCTTTAGCGGGTAATTCTTCTTCTGCACCAGTTCTAGTTCCCTCAATCTTGGCTTCCCCAAGTCTTCCTCTTCCCATAGACCCTAACATCTCATCTCCTTTAACTCCTCCTGATACATCCTCTGCCCAGGTTTCTTTGCCTATTCTGTCTGAGCATCAGTTAGAGGTTTTATTACCACCAAGTTCAAGGCCTGCCTCTCCAAGTATGAATTTAGAATCTTCTTCCTCTACTTCTTTACCTGCAGCAAACTCTCATTCTATGCAGACTAGATCTAAATCTGGGATACACACACCAAAACCTTTTTTCGACTATCATTGTTATAGCACTAGTTTGTCGGATGCTTTAGAGGAGCCTACTAGTTATCGAGTCACTTCTTACTCCTCAGAATGGACTAAAGCCATGCAAGATGAAATCGATGCTCTCCATATGCAAGGAACTTGGGAATTGGTGCCTCATCCAATGAATAAGAATGTGGTAGGTAGTAAGTGGATCTACAAGATAAAGAGGAATTCAAATGGGACTGTAGCCAGGTACAAAGCAAGGTTGGTGGCTCAAGGTTTTAGCCAAGAGCCTGAATTTGACTACTCAGAAACTTTTAGTCCAGTAGTGCGCCACTCTACTGTCTGAATTATTTTTAGCTTGGCAGCCATGCATGGGTGGAAGTTAAGGCAATTAGACATTAAAAATGTCTTTCTTCATGGAGATTTGGATGAGGAAGTGTATATGAAACAACCTCAAGGGTTTGAAGATCCTAAGCAGCCTCAATCTGTTTGTAGATTAAGGAAATCTCTGTATGGGTTAAAACAAGCACCAAGAGCATGGAATGCTAAGTTCACAGGATACCTTCCAGCCCTTGGTTTCAAAATGTCTCAATCAGATCTGAGTTTGTTTGTTAAACACACTGGATCAGATGTTCTAGCTTTACTTTTATATGTCGATGATATTATCTTAACAAGTTCAAGTGATGCTCTTATTCAAGAGGTTTTTGATGATCTGTCCTCATTGTTTGAATTGAAAGATCTGGGGTTGTTGACTTACTTCTTAGGTCTACAAATTTCTTGTCCCAGCTCAGGCGGTATCTTTGTGAATCAGTATAAGTATGCCAAGGAGTTGTTAGCTAAAGCAAGTATGACTCAATGTAAAGCTTGTTCCACTCCCTGTAAACCATATTCTCAGGTTCTTAGCACAGAGGGTGATTTGTTAAAAGATCCAACATTGTATCGCCGATTAGTAGGAGCATTGCAGTACCTTACTTTTACAAGGCCTGATATTGCTTTTGCTGTGAACTCTGTATGCCAATACATGACAGCACCTACAGATTCTCACTTCTTTCAGGTTAAGCGTATCTTGAGATACCTACAAGGTACTCTGCAATTTGGCATCAATTTTTCCCCTGGACCTATGCAACTTAGCGCTTTTAGCGATGCAGATTGGGCGGGGGATGTGTTTACACGCAGGTCAACTACTGGCTTTGTAGTATTTCTTGGAAATAATCCAATTTCTTGGCAGCTCTACGGAAGCCGAGTATCGAGCATTAGCCAATACAGCAGCTGATGTTGTTTGGATTCGTCAAGTGTTGGCTGATATGTATGAGTTTCTGCCTGAGCCTCCTTTACTTCACTGTGACAATCTCTCTGCCTTAGCTTTGAGCTCAAATCCAATGTTTCATTCACGAATCAAACACTTAGATATTGATTTCCACTTCATCCGAGAACATGTCCAACGTAAAGATTTTCATGTGCAGTATATACCAACCGATGATCAAGTTGCTGATGTCTTCACAAAGGGATTACATGGTCTTGTATTCTCAAAGCATTGTATCAATCTCAGACTGGGTCGCCCAGCTGAGATTGAGGGGGGATGTTTGGCTAAAGGTTAGTCAGCTTGGAAGGTTGTTAACTAATGTGTCATTATGGTTAGATTGTTAGTATAATCCATGTGATTTCTGCTGTAGTATAAAGTCTGTAATCCCATGTGTATTGGATTCATTCAATGAGAAATACAGAAATCAAAAGTAATATTTTCTCTGAATTCCTCTCTATGAATATTCTAGAACTCTCTCTATCTTCTTCCTTCAACTCTGTTAACATTTATTTGGGGTACAACTGATCGAAGAAGGAAAGTGCATCGTGTCAACTGCAGTACTATTTGTTGTTCCAAGAATAGAGGTAGTCTACGGTTGAAGAAGACGGAGCATGTCAATCAAGCTCTACTTGCAAAAACTGGATGGTGTTGATCTCCGCAAATCTCATGCCCTGGTGCTCTAGGCCGAGGGTATCCGCTTCAACATGGGTCGTCCTCCTTTGGTGCAGTGCGTTTGTGCGCGGGCGTGCCAGCACGGTCCACCTTGCATTCGAGGGTGATGTGAATGGATAGATGAATGTGGTGTGCGCCTGTCTGAGTCTGACTTCTAATCAGAGCGACTACGGCCAAGAGTGGAACTAATCTCGGTCGTCAGGTTCACGGCCTGAGCTACAAGGCCGTTAATGATGGTGTGAATGGTGGATTTTTAGGCGGTGCTCCGGCGCGTCGCTGGATAGCAAGGGTCGTATGATATGTGGGATGAACGGAAAAGTAACAAAGATGGTGCTCCGACGCCTTGAAAGTCAAGGGTCGTATGATATATTGATGAATAGATTTTCCTACAAGCTGTCACTACAACTTGTAAGGGTATTGAAAGTGCATTACAGGAAGATAAATGACAGAAGGTAAATGACAGGAAGACATAATCTGCTCCGTTGGAGGCTTGTGTTTGGTGTTGACCCTTTTGAATGTATTTGGAGCCTGGTATTTATAGAAGAGGCTCTGGGAGGAAGGCAAAGCTGATATCTACATGACGTGGTTGATCAGAGATAGTGGGTAATCTGCACAACATTTGGGAACGTGAAGTATGGTGGTGTGACCCCCATAAATCTCGGCCGCCGCCCTGATCGTCGGCTCTGCATCTTGGACCTTGGAGGAGCATTTAATGTTCTAGTCTGATGGTTGGTGACTTAGCCTCACAAGTCATAAGATTTTGCACCTAATCATCTTGATTTTACTCACCACATACTGACTCCAATCACTTCCCTTCTTCCCTCGTGCATTAAATGTAAATTCCTCTGTCACGTGGATCGTGGGTTCTCTGCTGTAGTTAGGAGCATTGCCTCATTAAATGAAGCGTGGGGCCTCAATGACACGTGACAATGCCCCTTGACTTTTCTACTTTGGTTGTGTATTTGAGGGTTTATCAACTTCTTCGTTCAAGCTCACCATGCCCGTGATGGTTTCGCCTTCACAGCTCATCCTTGTCCTACGAGAGAAATGAACTACAACTTGATGTGTTTGCCCTCTTTTGGGCAGGCACCTTGGCCGAGAGGCTGCCCCTTTGATCGGCCTTACCGGCCGAGTTTTTTTTAGGTACAAACAGATGGAGACTGGTGAAGAAAGACAACGGTTTATGGGCCCGGGTGCTTAGTGAGAGATACAAAATCATGATTTGGTAATTGGTGGGAAATCTAAAAGCTTAGGTTGCTCTAGTACTTGGAGATGAATTATTTTTGGTGCTCATGCTTTAGAGCAAGGCCTTGTGTGGCGTGTGGGAAATGGGCAAAAGATCAGGTTTTGGCTATAATTGGTTAGGGACTGGTCCTCTACGTCTTCAAGCTCAATGCTCTATTCTGAATGTTCTTGTAGAGGTGAAAGTTGACAACTTTCTCGATGTCAATGGGTGGCAATTGGATCGATTAACGAGTTTATTGACTCAAGAAATCCTTAATAATATTATGGGTATTCATGTTGTGAAGGTTGGGTATATTGAAGATACAATTAGATGGGTGTTTTACATCTTTTGGTAATTCTTGGTTAATTCTGCTTACCATGGTATTATTGATATTTTTGGTGCAATGAATTGGAGATGGGGTTTTTTTTTTAGAGCTTCACTAATATATCCAAAATAGGGGCTGAAATTATAATATAAAAAACCCCCCACATAGAATGCACTTTAGAAACACACCCAAAATCCATTTATTATATAAGAAATTGGTGTTGAAGTTCCTATAAATTACAGGACTGCCACTGATGCCCAAAAAAAAAAAAAAAAAAAAAACTCAAAAAACACCCAAAACAAGCCAAGCCCAATTTTATAAAAAAGCCCAAACTTTTTTTTTTGGTTACAAAAAGTCCAAACATTTTATTACAACATAAAACTATCTTGAAAACGTTAACTTCAAGCACGCATCTTCATTAAACCATCTCTGCAAAACGTCTCTTCATTTCACCGTCTTCATCATTTATGCAAACTGAAACTCCATAACTACAACCAAGCTTGATCTACTTTCAAAAACCAACACCACACACTAACCTCCACCTACAAAACAAAGACAAAATTTCAGAGAACAATTTCAACAAGAAAAGGCTTCAAAGGTAAGACAAACCTTTATTGTAATGCTGATTAATTGCTGTAAAGTTCCAGTCTATGGTAATAACAGCATTTTAGATTCGAATCCAAGACAAAATCTTGAAACTATATTGAATTTTCACTATTGGACTAACTGCATATGACTATAAAATAGTCGGTTTTCAGCAACTCAAAAAAGAAAGAGATATTTAGTCAAATACAGATTCTTAACACTGCTAGTTTACTGTCATGTTGATTAATGGCTGTAAAGTTCCAGTATAAGGTAATAACACTGCTTGTTTCCTATGGAATCCTATTTCTAATGCATGTCGACCACTGTAAAGTTCCAGTCTAAGGTAATGACACTCCTAGTTTCCTATGAAATCCTATTTTTAATGCATATCTACCATTGTAAAGTTTCAGTCTAGGGTAATAACAGTATTTTAGATTCGAATCTAGGAAAAAATCTTGAAACTATATTGGATTTTCATTATTGAACTGATTGCATAGGACTATAAAATGGTCGGTTTTCAGCAACTCAAAAAAGAAAGATATTTAGTCATATACCCATTCTTAACACTGCTAGTTTACTTTCATGTTGATTAATGGCTGTAAAGTTCCAGTATGGGGTAATAACATTGTTTGTTTCCTCTAAAATCCTATTTCGAATGCATGTCTACCACCGTAAAGTTCCAGTATAGGGTAATAACACTGCTTGTTTCCAATGAAATCCTATTTTGAATGCATGTCTACCACTATAAAGTTCCCGTACAGGGTAATAACACTACTTGTTTCCTATGAAATCCTATTTCTAATGCATGTCTACCATTGTAAAGTTCCAGTATAGGGTAATAACACTACTAGATTCTTCTGAAATCCTATTTCTAATGCATGTCTACCCCTTGTAAAGTTCCAGTATAGGGTAATAGCACTGCTAGATTCCTCTTGTAAAGTTCCAGTATAGGGTAATAACACTGCTAGATTCCTCTAAAATCCTATTTCTAATGCATGTCTAACCCTTGTAAAGTTCCAGTATAGGGTAATAACACTGCTAGATTCCTTTGAAATCCTATTTCTAATGCATGTCTACCCCTTGTAAAGTTTCAGTATAGGGTAATAACACTACTAGATTCCTCTGAAATCCTATTTCTAATGCATGTCTACTCCTTGTAAAATTCCAGTATAGGGTAATAATACTGCTAGTTTCATATAAATTCCAATTTCTAATGCATGTCTACCACTGTAAAGT